TCCAGCCTTATTGACAGTCTTCAGCTCGTCCACCACCTGATTAACCACCAAGCCTAATTCAAATGGCATGGCTTTCTCTAGTTCTCTAATCATCTCCCTCCACAGGGCAGCAGCTTAGACTTACAGCTGGCCAGTTCTGAGATCTTTCTTTAAATTTTGAATAAAATTTCCTCCAACTTCCTTTCAAATCTGTTCTGAAATTCTTTGATCAACAAGACTAAGAACCCTAAGATGGGGGCCCGATGTCCCTGGTAACACCTGCATTGATATCTGATAATGCCTTCATTGAGCAGTCAGCCAGTTAACCAAGGCCAAAGCTCATTTTGAGACCTGATCAGGCTTCCTGGAGAATTTAAGAACCATTCCGGCAACATTAGATAGTCTTCTGGCAAGATAATCTCTAACGGGATTGGGGGATGACTCAGTTGGAAAGTGCTTGCTTTACAAGCACAAAGACCCCAGCTTGAGTTCAGGAGAAGCTATGGAAAAAGCTAGGCACAACAGCACTCATTTGTGATTGAGAGGAGGAAAGTGGAAATACAAGGATCCTTGGGGTTCCCTGGGCTTCCAGACTGCCCTAAGTAGTGAGTTCCTGACGGGTGAGAGACAGCGTCTCACGAAACAAGGTGGATGGCTCCTGGGGAACGATATCTGAGAATATCTGAGTTTGATCTTTAGCCTTCACACCCAGGCACACACACACACACACACACACACACACACACACACACACACACACACACCACACACACACACACATGGATTTGTGCACACACATATAAATAGCTCCTATAACCCCTGAGAGACAAGACTATTACTCTTTCACCCTAGACGGGAGGCAGGCTGAGAAGACCTGAGGTGGCTTTTCCTGCCAACTCAGCAAGACCTCAGCGTGTGCCAGGGTGGCCCTCCTCCCCCACCAGTGCCTAGTTGTACTACTAGGTGAAAGGCAAGTAGAAAGTAAATAATAGCAACTCCTCCTTCTGCCATGGTTTGAAAAGCATCCCTTTCCTCCCTTTGGACTCCAGCTTTTTAGACACCGAGCTTGCTCTTAATCTAAAGAAAACAGTGAACGGGTTGCAAGGCCTACATACCTATTAATCAGAGAAGCAAAAATCCCAGCTACAGCACACACATTAGCAGGGAGAAGTTACACTATCCATTATTCTGATGGGTCCTAGAGGGAGGGTAAGGATGAGATCAGCCCCAAACACATGCAGAGTTCATTGGCAAGTGCCACGGGGGGAGTGTGTTTTGTACTTCTATTTTTTTTTTCTTTTAGTTTCACTAAGGATAAGTAGCATGTGAGTAAGCAGCTATCTATTTAAAAGTGCAACCCCAGACAGAACCTTACAAAGGGGAGAGAATGAAGAAAGCCAGGAATGGAGAAAAGAGATAATGAAAGATAAGTGCTGCATTTGTCCGCCCGTCAGAGAAGTCCACCATTGCACCACACTTCCCATTCATAAGATGACTGCTGTGGACGGCATGCCCAATCTTCTTACCCGAGGACTGTTCTTAGCCAGTGAAAATGCAGCCCTGGATTTGTATGCTTACCTTGATAAGAGGCCGATTTTGGGCTTATTTCCAGATAACTATAGAAATCTTGCTTGAAAATGAGCTAACGCTGAAGTTTAGCCTCGAGTGTTTATAAATAGCTGAGATGGGCTGACGGGAGCGTGGTAGTTTGTGGCCATGTTTCTCTTTCAGTGTTTAGATTTTCTCTGCAACCTGCCAGGCAGTTTTGTATAGATTTGGACTAGAGTCCATGTCTTTTGTGTTTATTGTTTTAGAATCACTGGCCTCTGTAAGTCTTCCTGTTACATAGATTTTTTTAGTAAATGGCAAAGGCCCCTTAAATCTGTCTGCTGTCTTAGGTCAGATTGACCAAAAGCCTCACATGGGTGGGCATCCATGGAAGGCCTGACTGTCATGTTTATTTGCTTACTTCAGAGGTAGGAGGCTGCCCTTTGTCCTGAAGAGTGGCTACAAACGTTTATGATGATGAGCAGTTGAAAGCCAGTACGAGCTAAGTGGTTGGGCTAGGGGGAAGCTGGCTGGAACCCAAACCCAGTCGAGGTCAGAGTGGAATGCTATTATTGCCGCATTAGCATTATCATTATCAATAAGACTCTCCAAATTATTTTTTAATGGGGCCAATTTACCTCCAAGTCTGTAACCAAGACACAGATCACTTATTGTCTATTCAGCAGTCATTAGGAATCAGCAAGGCAGATTCCAGCCCTTTCGGCTCTAAATCTAATCTCGAACTTTTCTAACAGTTACTTTATTCTTATTTTTTTTTCTCTCAGCTGAAAAATGGCCATAAAGCTCTGATTCAGGGTGTAAAGCTTCAATCCCTTTTTTGGCACATGTTGCTCACAGCTTTTATGTTCATGAGTGAAGTATTTTAAAATAATTCTCAGTGTCATTGCTTATACAAGCAGTTCTACCTACACCTAGATAAAACATAAAAATGAAATGTTGTGTTGCTGGTAGGGGCACGGGTTGGTGGGTGAGAGTGGGGTAGAACCCCCAGCTCCCACAGAAGCTGAAATTAGCTGCACATGCCATTAACTCTAGCAGTGGGAGGCCGAGCTGGATCTTGAGGGCTCTCTGGCCCGCTAGCTTAGCGTAAGGGCAAGCTCCTGACTGATTACTGGAGAGCAATGGAGGAAGACACTGGACTCGCTGCCCTTCAGACCCTGCACCAACACCACACACTCACATACATGCACCACACACATACAACACACTGCACACAACCCATACACCAAAGTACTTAAAAGAATTCTCCAAAATCCCCCCACTTGCACAGCAAACACCCTTACTCACAATGCTGTCTTCCCAGCCCGCAAACCAAAACTTTGAGAGTAACAGCCAATACCTCAGAGTTCTAGAAGTTGAAAGTCTGGGCGGCCTCAGTTAGTTTCTATACTTAGGGCTTTACAGGACTGAAGTCAAGGTTTCAGCCTACCTGGACATTCTGGAAAAATCCACTTTAAGCCCATTCTGGCTGCTGGCAAAATTCAGCTCCTTTCAACTATGGAATGGACGGAGCTCACCTTGGCTTTGCTGCATTTTTTGGCTGACGTGTTCTTGACTCCTTTCCTCACAAAGATGATCTGGCATTTATCTATTTGTTCCTAGACCAGACTGCTCGTTATGGTGTTTTCATGTGACTTCCTGCATTATCACTTCGAAGCCAGCGATGGAATGCCCCTTTCCCACTGAGCCACCCTTTTATTTTTGTGATGCTATCGGGGTCTCGTTCTATAGTTTCAGGCTGGCCTCAAATGCAGCAACCTCCTGCTTCAGTCTTCTAATGTTGGCCCCACAGGCACGTGGCCCTGACCACACACTGTGAGTCTCACTGATTTCCTCTTCCCCCACCACCTCCAGGAAGTGTTCTGCTTCTCCAGTGCAGGTGACTGAGCTGGGCCCCTCCAGGTGGTCTGTTGTAGAGTCTACTCATTACCGGAATTTCTCCTACAAAGTCCCTTTTGCCACATACCATGGAAGGCAAAGGCCGCAGGACCATCTTAGAATTTTGCTTCTTGTACCTTCCTCCTCAGCTTAAGGGGAAACCATGGTTAAGCGATCAGCTGACTAGAGCTGCTTCTCCATTTGCAGATGATGGGAAGATTTGCAAACATGGCAGTGGCAGAGACAAGATTTAAGCCAACGCATGGGCAGTATTCTTCCCACAGCCATGTGCGCTCTCTTGGCATGCAAGCCTGCAGACCACACACGGCATTGTCTGTCACAGGAAGCCTTACAGGCATGAGGGGCACACAGATGCAATGGCGTCCAGAAGTCTAAGTGAAGAGTCTGCTCTACAGATTGAGAACAGCATTGTCTCTACTGTCCAGTGACTCTTGTTTAGACTTCTGTCTGTTGTTTGCTGTCCTTCAAGAAGACCACTGTTTGTCTGGAAAGATCAGTTGAGTTCTGGCAGAAGATTCTTTCGTTCCTTCCTTAACAGCTCAGTCAGTTAGTCAGTACACATTTAGTAAGAGTCAGTTATATTCCAGATCTTGAATTAGGCATACTACACCATACCTGTCCTTTGAGAACTTCTAACTAGCTCTAGCTATTCTTGTTCCTTTACCAGATGACGTGAAAAGGGGGACTAAAACGGGGTGGGAGTGACTAGTGGTGACATTTGGAAACCTGAGTGGGAGTTGTGGAAATTAGGAAAGCCAAATGAGAGGCACTGAGAATGATTTCCAACGTATGTTCTACTAGAACGTTCTGCGATGGCACGTTTTTACATCCACATTGTCCGATAGAGAAGCCAGGGACCATGTGTATCTATTGAATGGGGCTGAGTAGTGTGATGAAGAAGCTTGGAAGTGATGGATACAATTCAGAAAACATACACAACAAAACTGTTCATTCTATTTGTATGTGTGCATATGTTTTGTACATGTGTGTATGCATGTGTGGAGGTCAGAGGTCAATGACAAGTGCCTTCATCATTCACTCTCCATCTTGTATTTTTGAGACAGGGTTTCTCACTGAACCTGGAGTTCACCAGTTTGGCTAATCTGGCTGATCAGAGGGCTCCAAGTATCCACCTGGTGCTGCCTCCCTTCCATCCCCCATATTCCCCAGTATAGGGATTAGGGACAGGCATTGCCCTACATGGCTTTTTGTTAACATGGGTTCTGAGGGTTGAATTCAGGTCCTCAAGCTTGCATGGCAGACACTCTGCTGACTGAATCCTGCCCTCCACCCTCCGTGTTGGCCATTCTGTTGGTTACTTTTAATCCCTCTAAGTTCTTACTCTATTCTTTGGCTTCTAAATATATTTAATCTGATATCTGAATTATACCTTCATATAACTTAAATTTCTCTGATTAATTTCTAGCATCAACATTAAGAAAATGCAAACCAAACATTTTTTTAGAGGTAGAATCACAAGGCAAACTACCTGTAATCTATTATCATATTGTTTATATATAAATATATGAGCCACAAATAAATATATATGTATATATAAAAGGTTTCTATTTTTATTTTTGATTATGTGCATGTGTGGGTTTGTGCAAACATGAGTGTAAGTCCCTGCAGACTCCAGAAGAAGGTGTCGGATCCGTTGGAGCTGGATAGTTGTGATCCACCTAATATGGGTGTTAGGAATCAAACTCTGGTCCTCTGAAAGAGCAGTATGTGGTCTTGAGCATGGAACCACCTCTCCATCTCTGTAAACAATATATTTTAAAACAAGCTGAGTAAGGTTACCAGAATAGAAGCTTAAGGAGTGGGAGATAATTAGTTGGACGGTGTTATTTTAATCTCGCATCTGGATGATCCGAGCAAACACATTTTCTGCCATTTGAGGAACGTCGCCAACACTTACCTTCCTCCCCTGGGAGGAAACAGAGCAAACACACTTGCGTGTCTTCCTATGTAGATGGCTGCTTTAATGCCCTTGTCTTCTCTGATCCCCAAAGACACAATTAATGGATTTCTGCTATGATCCCAGCTGCAAGGAGAATTATTGTCTGTCATTTGTATGTTGCCTCAACCCCAGCTCACTAACATTTTTTGGTAATAATATTCTGGAATGACTTAGAGCTGATTTGTCTGAACCATGGCTCTATGGAACATCAGTCCAGTCTTTTTTTTTTCTTTCCCCCTTTTTGTGAAAATCCGCCTCTTTTACACCAAGCCTGCCATGGTACTCTTAATAAATATGGAAGTTTTGCAAGGTTTTCACCATTTCACCTCTCTCAATAGCATAAAAAAATGATTTTTGTTTTATATATATGAGCATTTCGCTTGCATGCATGTATATGTATCATGTGCATACCTGATATACACAGGCTCCGGAAGAGGATGTTATGTTCCCTGAAACTGAAGTTACAGATTGAGCCATCATGTAGGTGCTGGGAACTGAACCTATGTCCTCTGGAAGAGTGGCAATAAGTGTATTTAACCATTGAGCTATCTCTCAAGCCTATCTCCATGACATTTTGATGCCAAAGTCAGCCCCAGTTCCTCCAGCCAACCTTTTTTGGCTGGTTCTTTTGTTAAATAGGTTTACAGTATTGGGAAATAGCCCTGAGATTTTCCGGGATGATAACATGGACTGTATATTAAGTCTGTTATTTTGGACTCTAGCCATCCTCTCAATGTGAATGTGCCCTTTGGGCATGGCACCTCAATAAGCTTAATACATGGGTCAAAAGAACAGGAGGACTTATGAAAGAACCATGATATATATATATATATATATATATATATATATATATATATATATATATATATATAGTAAAGCATGCATGCATGCATGGAATCTTAGAAAAGCTTATATCCTTTGCCCTTACAATTCCGTTTTCAATCACCTATTGCCTAGAATATTTGTAAATCTATTGAAGAAAAGTAGAAATGGGATTTGGGATTTGTAAATGAGTTCTAACTGGTTTGGCGTTCTGAACAATCTATGACCATTTGAAGAAGGCATGGATTTATTTATTAGCACTGGTCCTAAAATCTCCCCAAGATAAACTGTAAAGAGCAGCAAACTCTAGGCAGTGCAGCCGGCTTGCTTCGACTTCTGTATCCAGAAGACGTTTTCATACCAAGAAGATCTCAGCTCTCCTTGCATGTGCTTGTGTGTGCTTTGGAAGGGCACTCAAGAGTCATGAGGAAGCAGCTATTTGAAGGACCTAGAGTTGTTTTTAGTTTGGATTCTACTTGCACTGTGATTTTCTTTTTCTAACAGGGAGAACATTTTAATTTGTGCAGTAAAATTACTTTTAAAGAACTCTAAATAAATTACCAGCAGTTTAGAATCATCACAAGTTCAAGGGAAACCTGTTGTACAGAGTGAGCTGTGGACAGCTAGGGCTGCGTGGGGAGATACTCACAAAAGACAAATAAACAAAACACTCACTAAAAACAGATAGGCAACAACAAAAGATAAAATAAAAATCACCACAGGCCCACTACTCAGAATATTGAGACTGTTTTGGAGTGTGCCCTTCTAGATTTTTCTTTTACTTATATATGTCATGTCATATATAATACTGTATAGCCACTTCACGACTTTTTTTTCTCAAACAAAAAAAATCTCATGCAAATAAACAAGTTTTCTTCATTTTAATTTGTTTGGATAACTTTTATTAACCACAAATGCAGAGAATAAATTAAATTCACCCACTTTCAGTAAAATCAGCTAATAAAAAGCACCTAACTCAAGTGTACATGTTTTGATGCATCCTCATTAGTGGTTAGAAACTGGTCGGCACTCACCCTTACTAAGTAGTGGTTTCTAACTTCCTAAGGATAGGTCTTTCAGCCAACTCAGCCCAAACCGAGCCATTCCTGAAATTCCACACACAATTGCCACTTCCAGCAGATGGATGTTTAGGATGTTTCAAACGTTGAACTACTATAAATAGTGCTGAAATAAATGAACATTTTTAAAAGCCAAGTCTATATATAATCCTAATTCTAGTATTTTCTTACCGCCAGAGCCTAGAAATACAAATTAAGAGTCGAAGGACATAAGTGATTTATAGTAGAATTCCTTCTGAAGAAAGAGTATGCCAGGGCTGAGGAGACGGCTCAGTGGGGAAAGCATTTACTGCAGTCATGAGGACCTGAGTTCGGATCCCCAGAATCCAGGTGCTTTACCTACATGGTGGCAAACATCTGTAATCCCTGAGTTTCTACATTGAAAAGGGAGGCAGAGACAAGAGAATCCTTAGAAGTTCACAAGCCAGCAAAGTCTCGTACACACATGTGCTAGTGTGTTCCCCTGCTGCCACGGTAAAACACTGATCAAGACTGCGTGGGAGAGGAAAGGATTTACTTGGCTTCCACATCCACATCACTGAGGGAAGTCAGGACAGGAACTCAAGCAGGAGCAGAGGCAGGAACCATGGAGGAAGGTGCTCACTTTAGTGGCTTGCAGCTTGCTTTCTTACCCAGATCCCCCTGCTCAGCGATGACACCACTCACCTGTGTGCTGGGCGCTCTGCTGTCAATCATTAATCAAGAAAACTAGCACCGCTGATATGACCAAAGGCCAACCCCTCAGTCAAAGTTCTCTCTTCCAAAGTGACTCTAATGTGTGTCAAGTTGTGAAAGACTACCGGCATCATGCAGAGGCAAATGATAAGAAAGCTTGCCTCAACCAAGGTGAACTGGTGGGAATACATTCTGCCCCCCCCATGTGTGTATGTGTGTGCATGAATGTACGTGTGTGTATGTGTATAAGTGTGGGTACATATGTGCCATGGTGCTTGTGTGATTAGAAGACAAGTTTGTGTATCACTCAGTATGTGTCTGACTTGAAAGTTGTACTCTACAAGAAAATGGGTCACATCCCCATGTGCATTTACCACAGGAGAAAGTGTCAAGAGGAAATGTGAGCAGAGACAATGGTAGAATTCCTGTCTCAGATTGGGAAATCCCATGCTCCCCAGCTTTCCCAAGTAGTTCGTGGGACTGTTTATGTCTTGTGTTATTCAGAATTCCTTCAGCCGCAGTGTCTGAAACCAGACTCAAACCTAAGTAAAAAAAAAAAATCATAGTTCATTGACTCCACATCCAGGAAGTTTCAGAGAGGATGCTAAGTGTCAGGTCAGGCTAGATCAGAGGCCCAAACAATCCCACTAGAGCCCTGGTTCTGCCACAGGCCTGCCTATAATCCTAGCCCTGGAGGAGGATCAGAAGTTCAAGATCATCCTTGGCTACATAGTGAATTCAAGCCTGGGCTTCAAGGCAGTCTAGGCTATGTGGATCCTTGTCTCAAAAAGGTGAAAACAAACACAAAACAAAAGAAGGCAACAACCACAACCTTGACTGTCACTCACCCTGTATCTGTTGATCAAGTAGCTGCCAATCAATTCTTACACATGTATTGGAACTTCCATGAGCTTTTCCCAGGATGTCTTCCAGAAGTCCCAGGAATAGTTGGGTCAAGGTTACAATGCTCTGAGTAAGTCTCTCAGGCCAAGAAGAGGGATATGCAGGACTGGTCATATACCCTCCCCTAGGACTTAGCTCACACAGAACACCTAAGGGAGAGATCTAAGGGAGAGAGATGGGGGGTTCTTACAGGAGTACAAAGGATGTGGAAACTGGAAAACAAAGAAGGTTTTGAGCTACTGAGGGGACAGAAGGGAATTTCCTCACTCCGTGATGGGTACAGAGGGATACCCAGGTCTGCCCAGGCATTATAGCTAGTTATCACAGCTTTGGGGAGACAGGACAGCCAGAAAAGCTTGCCTAGGAGCTGCCAGGCTGGCTGGGTGCTGAGCCAAAGGCAGTTCAGGGAAGTGTCTCAGGAAGCTCCCACATTGGGCAGACTGTTATCTGTCCCAGCGCAAAAGCTCAAGGAATGACTGGCCTTTATCAGATCCACCAAGCACTTGGGGTTGAAGGGAGGACCAATTAGGATCTAGAATCTTCAGAAGAACTCGAGATTTGGAGCCTGAAACTTTGTAAAGAAGAAATTTGGGTGGCCAAAGAGGTGGCTCAGTAGCAAGAATACTCCCTGTTCCTGCAGAGGACCTGGGTTCTGTTGCCAACACCCACAGCATAGCTGACAACCATGCTCAACCCTACTTCCAGGGCATCTGGTGTCTTCTCTTCTGACCTCTACAAACACTAGCTACTTTCCAAGACCACGTGCACACATGCAGGCAGAGCATTCATGCATATACATTTTTAACAATCAGTCTTAAAAAAGAAGACATTTATGTGCTTTTGTTCCTTTCTCAGAGAGTTGACCACAGCAAACTTCTTGCTAACTCCATCTGCTATTCCAATCCAAACACAGTTTCAGTGTTATACAAACATTTTACAGCTGGGGTTGGTGGTACATGCCTATAATCCCAGGGTTAGAAGGTGGAGGTAGGGGGATCAGGAATTCAAGATCATCTCCAGCTATATAGCAAGTTCTGGGTCAACCTGGGCTGCATATGATCCTGTCTCGATCAACAGCAAATGAAACTGTTTATGGTTTATTTTATGAAGAAAAGACAGTTTGTGGAAGAGGGAAATCAGTCACAGAAAATTGATGGTTGCATTAATTGGTCAATGGATTGCCAGACCATTGCTTTCTTCATCCACAACTCCTCTCGGACATCATGTACTGTGTAGGCTGTCTGGGAGTATAGATATTAAAGACTTACACTTCCAACATGCTTATTATGCTTATAGTCTCTTATGTGTGTCTTAACAGACTGAAGATAAAGAGACTGGGAAAACATAGGTTATTGTTGGCAAAAGCCAACTCATCATTTGTATCTGTCCGTAAAGCTTCACTGAAACAGTGAACACAGACCACAAATATGCTCATGTCCACTATGACTCCAATGGCAGTACTGAGTTGTTGCAAGGCAAAAATCTCGTTTTTCCCCCCTAAGGCAAAGATATTTTCTATCTGGACCTTTCATGAAAGCTTTCCAATTTCCAAGCACCTGTTCAAGAACATGAGGGTGATAATGATAGGTGGGAATGTATCCCAAAAGGAGACAAATGAAGGCTGAGACACAAGGGATCCATGGGCATTAGCTAAGTAAGGATGAGGAGTCAGGGAAGCCAAGGCAAAGGGTCTCCTTGTGCTCACACAGGGAATGAATAGAGCATGAAGAGCTGGTAAGACTACAGGCCATGCTGGATCACTTAGCAACGAGGCCAGAGTCACTCAGCATCCTCAGGACCATTCAGGATCCTCCAGCAAGTCTGAAGGATCCTTCAACATTCCACATGGGCTAAGGCTGTTCCGGTTTGCTTCTTTGCAAGTCTGTTCTGTAGGGAAGTACTAGACAACTCTAACTAGAAGCACTTCCTTTTTCTTTAATTCTCCCCTCCTCCACTTCTGAAAATATTTAGTCTCTTGGAAGCAGGCCAGTATAAACATCCAGAATGATGGAGCATGGCCCTGGTGGCCTGGGGTTACCCATGTGACCTCCTGGCTCCTCTATGCAGCAGTAGCCTAGCGGTGGTTCTTCACAGGAGACTGATGGAATGATTGACAGGTCCTCTTCCGTTTCTTTACCTGTGACCTTCTGCACTCGACTGTCCTCTGATACTGTGATGCAGGCTATCTGAGTTCCCGAGGCAGGGATGCCTGCTTCTAGATCCCAGTGTAGGATCTGGGGAGAAGGAGGCTTAGGAGGTGATCTCTCCACTTGGCACTTACAGCCCCTTCAGTCTCCAGACAGAATCGAGTGGCAGTAATTGGATAAACAGTTTAATTTATTAGTAACAGAAGAACTGAGTCTAGTGCAAATCTTATTGCCCTTTCCTCAAAGTGACTTTCCTTTCTCTACATTCAGAGATATAGTATGGCCACTGTGGATGGAGTAGACTAGAAAGCATTGATTTTGCCTAGCAAGAAGGTTGGGTCATAAGAAGAAATTTTAATAATCTTGTTGTGAATGGCACACGGAAAAGTATAGAGACACCAGACCTGGGGAGGCAGGCATTGAAGAGGAGGACAAAGAGAAGAAAGTACTTTGTATTTATTTGAGGGTGAGGAATGCTCTCCCCTACTTTCAAGTTAGGATTAGAAAATTCTTAAATGTATTTGGGGTTTGTCATCTAGTCTTTACTTACAGGATCAAAACAATCTTGCTCCAGGAGTATTTTTGGTCCCTTTACTCATAAAATTACTGACTTGAAAAATTACTAAAACTACTTCCAAACTTAAAATTCATGAAAAATCACTTCTTGGAGACTTTCAATTTTCTCATCTTCCTAGATAGAAATCTTATACACAGGAGCATCTGAGCCCATGCAGGTCTTGGCAGCACAGCTCCGCTCAGTGCACATAGGTAGGCGGAACCTTCCTTCTCCCATTAGCACCTTCCGGTTTCTGTAGGCAGCGCTTCTACCTAACTGTGTAGTTCTGATAAGCTCTGGAACACGCTCAGTGACAACGAAGCTGTTGGCCAATATGCATTTGAACCCCGTCCCAAAGGTGGCAGACAGCTTGAATTTGAAGAAGCGGGCATAAAGAGTGGTGAGGGAAGCGGAGATATTGTTCCCCTAGTCACACCTTCCGAATGGGTACAAACTGGTAAGCAGTCAAAACTAAACTCTGATACACATTAAACCTATGTTCACAGCTCTGCTGGGAGAGTCAGTAGCCTGGAAGTGGGGAGAGGTAAGGAATTCCTCATGTTTCCCAGTGTGCTCTCCCTGACACCAGCAAGCAAGGCAAAGAACACCCACACACAGCAAAGCCCTTCAGAGACGACTATGACACATCCCCAGCACCTCTTACTTCCCATGTCGACTTCATGTGGTAAACTTGGGCTTCCTCCACTGTTTCCACTGGCTTGGAAGCTGGAAGTATAGGAAACAACACAAAGAGGAACAAACCCTCCTGAGACATCATGCACATATGTGAGCT